TCAAGTCACAGCTGATCTTCCTGAGTCAAGTCAAGTCACTGCTGATCTTCCTGAGTCAAGTCAAGTCAAGTCACTGCTGATCTTCCTGAGTCGTCAAGTCACAGCTGATCTTCATGAGTCAAGTCAATTCACAGCCGATCTTCATGAGTCAAGTCAAGTCACAGCCGGTCTTCATGAGTCAAGTCACGTCACAGCTTCCATCGCTGAGTCAAGTCAAGTCTCAGCTGATCTGCCAGAGCCTTGTCACGTCTCAGCTGATCTCTCAGAGCTTCGTCACGTCTCAGCTGTTCGTCCAGAGTCTCGTCACGTCTCAGCAGTTCGTCCAGAGTCACGTCACATCACCGCTGATTATCCAGAATCACGTCACATCACAGCTGATCATCCAGAATCTTGTCACATCACAGCTGATCTTCCAGAGTCTTGTCACATCACAGTTGATCATCCAGAGTCATGTCACATCACAGCTGATCATCCAGAATCACGTCACCTCACAGCTGATCATCAGTCTGGTATCCAGTGTGAGGGATGCACCGCTGGTGTCTGCACGCGAAGCTGGTATCCCCAAACCCACTCACTCTAGCCCTCCTGTTCCTGAACTGATACCCCTGTCTGAAGCACTTCCCTTGATGGGGATCGCTTTATGGTGTGTTTGGGCTGCATACACCACCACAGAACCTTCTGAGGTAGAGGCGCTCGCTTCAGCTCCTTGCGTGGTGATGGCGCCCAGCAATGCACTCTCAGCCTGTCGTGTTGTGGTCGAAGAGACCGTTACTGACTTCTCCCTGTTTCCTGATCTTACTGCTGTAGACCCTCCAGAGGTGGCGGCAACCGCTGCAGAACCTCCAGAGGTGTCAGTGGTATCCATTTATGAACTCTCTGCCTGCCCAGCCACGGCCAAGGAGGCCGTTTATGAGTTCTCAGTCTGTCCTGTCACGGTCAAAGGAAAGTTGCTGAACTCTGTACCTGTCCTGTTAAGGAGAATATTAATGAACTCTCCCTGTTTCCTGCTGGTATTGCTGTAGAACCTCCAGAGGTGGCGGCATCCGCTGCAGAACCTCCAGAGGTGAAAGTAGTATCCACTTGTGAACTCTCGTCCTGTTCTGTTCTGGCCAAGGAGGCCGTCTGTGAACTCTCTGCCTTTCCTGTCGCGGCTATGGAGGCCGTCTGTGAACTCTCTGCCTTGTCCGGTCACGGCTATGGAGGCCGTTTGTGAACTCTCTGCCTGTCCTGTCACGGCTAAGGAGGCCGTCTGTGAACTCTCTGCCCGTCCTGTCACGGCTATGGAGGCCGTTGGTGAACTCTCTGCCCGTCCTGTCATGGCTATGGAGGCCGTCTGCAAACTCTCTGCCTGTCCTGTCAAGGCTACGGAGGCAATTTATGAACTTTTATCCTGCTCTGAACCGGCCGAGGAGGCCATCTGTGAACTCTCGCTGTGTTCTGAAACAGCCTTGGTGACTGATTGTGAACTGTCTGTCCTTCTAAATGCTGCTATTGAGTCTGATTTTGAAAACTCTGTTTTGCCAGTTTCTGTCAACGAGTCTGATCATGAACTGTCAGTCTATCCAGAATCTACTCATGAATCTGTGTCTGAATTATCAGCCAGTACCCTTTCCCTCAATGAACCTGACGTTAATTCACCTGTCTGTTTCCACCCCACTGACAATTCTGCCTGCCCAGTATCAGTTAATGATTTGTTTGTCAGTTCAGTTCCAGTCACTACTCTGGGTGAACAAACTATTCATAACCAAATCACTGCCAACACCTGTTTTGAATTATCGGCTTATCTGGTCTCAGTTAACGAACCTGTTTTTGAACTGTCTGCCTTTCAAGTTTGCCCGTTCAGTGGTCACCAGGGAGACTATTGATTAACTTTTTGCGCTCCCTGCCTCGGTCTTTGAGATCGTATATGCTCTGTCTGTCTCTTGTGTCTCTGTTTTCACTAGGCCCCAGTCTCTGCCATGGGTCCTGGCTTCGTCTGCTTCGCCCTGGTGGGCTTCTGTCCCGTCTGCTCCGGCCTGGTGGTCTTCTGCTCTGTCTGCCAGCTCACTAGCTTTTGGAACAGAATCTGTATATATTGATGCTTACCAACACACTCTGGTTGCATCCCACTCCATGTTAAATTTTCTAAACACGTTCTCGTTGTTGAGCCGAGGATGTGATAGTTTTTCCGACATCTGAAGAAAATTTTACTTCCAACCTGAAAGAAGAGAATTACATTATTGAGACTGAAACCCTGAAACTAAAGAAACACAACCTGTTATTTACTCAACTAAATTACAGGAAATGATTGAATGTAATTTGTTCTCACCTCAAATCCCTGAGCCTGGACTGGAATTCCATATGCGGGGGTTCCGGGATCCTTACATGCATTGTTGGTTGGATCTATAAATAGACATTCACACCTTTTAGAATCATTTATTTAAATAGATAAATAAATATGTGTGCATGTATCACATGGCAATGGAATTGCATTGCTTTTTTCCAAGCTACATAGTGGATCACCAATGCAAGAAGGCTGTATTCCACTCCATGAACCGTACGCCTCACAAACTCTTCTTGAGGAGCCCACCTGCAGGAATGGAGGTCTGCAGTAGAATGACACCTCTGATTTGTAGGTGAACTGCCGGCCCTCTATGAAGCCCTCTGCAGGGGTGCCTGGATCTCCACATAACACGGCTGTAAAGGACACCATTGAAAAATTCAGCTAGTTCTAACATTATCTCAGTTCAGCTACTTTCTTTTTCAAGAGTGTAATTTAGCAGTGAAAGTTGCTTGTGTGTTTGAATTTGAAAAACATCAACAGACAAAAAGGTCTACTGTGAGGACCCCCACCCCCAAAAAAAGAAAGAAAGAAAAAAACTTTTAATTGCATTTTAGTAGTCAAACTGTTATAGTTGGGCTGTTTATTTGTATTCTCAGGTGCTTCTCTTGTTTTTTAGGTATTTAAGGCATTTAGAAAATGAAAATGCTTTAGCATCACATTTCAGACAGGATAAACTGATGGCAAAGTGCTACTAGTAAATTACAGCTAATATAGATACAATGTAATATCGTGGAAATAAACAAGCCAAAAATTAACAAAAAATATGAAATCATCAACAACAATTTGGTTTTAATACAACAACAGCTGCTGAAAGAAGTAGGTCTAGAGTCTGCTTCTGAAGATTTAACAGTAGACACACTTTTTCACTTGAAGGAGAACTTGATTTCATCAAATGCTTGGTGGCCAAATAGTCTTAAGCCTCAGCATAGATTGGATGTGGGAAGGTGCCTGACCAGTGACTGCTTTGACGCTTGGACAAATGTTTGAACTTGATTCTACTAGGTATAGGGAGCCAGTGGAGGAAGTGCAGCTGAAGTGTTATCTAGGAGGACTTGAAATGCCTGAATATCAACCAGACTGCAGTTTTCAGAATGAGCTGCATCGTGAGGTACTGCGTGTACCAGGACTAGCTGTCATCCTTTTTCCAAAGGCAAAAAGCAAGGCATGTTTTCACACTATAGTTCATGTCATTTAGATGCCTGCCCTTATATATTACATATTATTTCACAGTTTCAAGCGATGACTTCTTTAACCCTGTATGCTATATAATTTAATTTAATATTTGATTTAAAAGTAGGGCTGTTGCCATATATATATATATATACACACACATACAGTATATGCATCCAGATTGTCAAGCATTGAAAAAACAAACGGAATAATAAAAAATAAAAGAAATCCTCAGAAATTGATTAGACTGATTCATTTGCTCAAGCGTGCTGCCAAATGATTAGAGCGAACAGATTAATTTGTTTGCTATGATTGTCTATGAAGATATGTTTTCAGTGGACTTTCACAATTTGCTTGAGAAAACATTAAAATATAGTTACAATGTTTGTTTGTTTTTTTCATTTGATTTAATCAAGTTATTTTTGCATCAAATACAATGTACAATGTGATATTTATTATTCGAGATCTGCAGCAACAGGCTTGGGCGAGCGACTTGTGGACAGCTTGTCCTTATCCTTGTACATAAAATCATCCACATACCAACAAACCAATGATTAATTTGGCAAATAAATAATTTACGGACAGTTACAACTGCTTTAGCTTTATACCTGAAATGAAAAGGGAATATTTAGTAACGATAATATTAATTAGCCAGTCTGCAAACTCATTCTCTCAAATGGCTTGTGTATGAAGAGCCCCTGTTGTGTTATATTATAAACTGTTTATTAACTATTTAATGAAGTATGTGACCCCTGCTGAAGTTGTTATTTCTGCGTCAGGACCATGCCCATCCCCCTGTCAAAGAAAGTGTATATAAATTAGCAACAGGCTTGGGCGAGCGACTTGTGGACAGCTTGTCCTTATCCTTGTACATAAAATCATCCACATACCAACAAACCAATGATTAATTTGGCAAATAAATAATTTACGGACAGTTACAACTGCTTTAGCTTTATACCTGAAATGAAAAGGGAATATTTAGTAACGATAATATTAATTAGCCAGTCTGCAAACTCATTCTCTCAAATGGCTTGTGTATGAAGAGCCCCTGTTGTGTTATATTATAAACTGTTTATTAACTATTTAATGAAGTATGTGACCCCTGCTGAAGTTGTGCGTCAGGCGTCAGGACCATGCCCATCCCCCTGTCAAAGAAAGTGTATATAAATTGACGTATACTTTTTTTTTTTTTTTTTGCATGGTCAATGGTGTATAATGACATTGTTAAAACAATGTTAACATAGTTTGTGAGGACCCTTCCTGTGTCCTTATAAACCAACTGGCTTTAAAACACACTAAATGGTCTGTTTATTTGTGTTTGTTTAAAAAAAAAAATGCCTAAATGTTTCTTTGAGGGTTATGTTTATGTGATGGGGTAGGGTTATGGGATAGAAAAATATGATTGGCTCAGTAATAAAAACTACGCCTAAGGAGAGTCCCCGTAATATGTGTGTGTGACTAATTGTATCTTTTGGTAACTGTTGTATTAAAGCAATAGGGAACTCGAAGACGTGCTGTATTGCGAATGTACTCCGCTTTGCATCAGGCCTAATCAGACCTAACAAATGCTCTTCAGCTGCGACTGTATTCACAGCATGGCCTCTCGTACCTTACTTTACATGAAATCAAATGTTATAATTAATAAATTGAATAAATGTACAACATATAAACACATAACAGCTTGACAACCTGACATTTAAAAATAATTAAGTCTAATTTAAGAACACACTTCAAATTTTTAAAATCTTATTAATGACACTTGTCTGAATATATATTATTGTGATTTTATTGTGTTGACCTGTTACCCAACAGTTATTACAAATATGATGTTAAAATTTAGATAACACTTTAGTATAGGGGCCAATTCTCACTATTAACTAGTCACTATTAACAGAAAATTAGGAATTTATTGAGGTAAAAGTCATTGTTAATGGTTTGTTAATAGTGAGAACTGGACCTTAAAATAAAATGTGACCAACATTTAGTTTGGATGATCAAAGGTATTGATCAACAAGTTTGATTTCAAGGAGTTTGAAACCAGCATACAAAACCACTGCTGGAGAAAACAAACATTTGTGTCTTTATTTACTGGGATATAGTCTTCGTGACATCTTCTACGTCAGACAACTAGCCCTGTTCTCTTCCATATAATAGTGCTTCTTGGTGTGTGTACTTACGATATGGTTTCTTTTTTTCTGGCACTTTTAACGAGGATTTTTGTTGTAACAGCTGACATTGTGTCGATGGGATAAATGCAGAGCACTAATTCCGAGTATGGGTCACCATACTTGACCACATGTCACGTCACTTTCACTTTTCAAAGGCTTAGAATAAAAGCTAGAAGGATTTAACAGCAGATTCTCTGCATGCACCTCGTACCTCTTACGCTGCATGCTGGAAAGCCAGGCTACTTGAGCGATCCATTTGTGATGTGTTGACACTTGTATTGAAAATGTCAAAACAGGTGTGCTGTAGCTGTAGCTGATGTGCTGTAGCTGCGTTTCACACAATTTCAGTCAAGCCACGAACCTTCCATCATAGCGACACAATACTCTAAACACAACAACAGCCGCCGCAGAAAATATCAACTTTTGGCCATATATACAGAGTTCTGGCATGAAACTCTAGATGTCGAAGTCCGATAGGTCTAACTCAATCTGACCTAATGGCATCATCACATGGCACAGCTGATTGGTTCTCTCCTGTATCGATAGCCAATGAGCTCGCTGCTCAACATTCAAATATATGACTAGTGCTTGCTGTAGCAGTTGCAGCTTACTTCAGAAACCCTCCACCTTCCCCAGCTCCACCTGTATAGATCTGCTACGAGGTGATTCATGTATGCTATATGGGGTTATTTCATGTATGTTATATTTGCAGCAGCAATATTTCTTACATGCTCACAGCAGCATGATGTGGATGTATTGGCAGTAGCAAGTCTCGGTACTTGCTCTGCAGCAGCAACAGCGTAGCAGATCTATTCCGCCAAGACCAAATACATTAACATTGTCATGTACATTACCATGCCAATCCCTCCGAGAGTTGTCATGACAGAAGTGGATTTACGGCTGGGTACTATGATGGTATGAATGGTGTGATGGCAGAAATATGTCACGATGGTAGAGATCTTGCTATATTATTTATACCGCAGAAGATGTATTTGGATGGCTATCAGTTTTTTTTTTCTTAATCAAATGTGAGAGCGAACTGCAGAAAGCGTTGTAAAGTATATTAGCACAAATCGGACTGTACTTATATCCCTCACAGCCTAATTTTCATTTGTAATTAAATGTGCTGTCTACTGAAGCAAAACACATTGTTTACATCCCCTTTTCATGGATGTGCTAATGGAGTTTAATTCTGTTTTCTGTTAATGGAACAGAACAGTACTTACGCAGACACTGAGGGATTTCACCACGCCATGTGCCGTTCCCTTCACATGTGGCTATTCCAGGAGAGAACAACTGGTATCCTTCAAAGCAGCTGTAGGTAACACTAGAGCCCCACTGCAGGTCTGAGCCCTCCACTCGCCCATTGTGGATAGCTGGCGGCTGACCACACATTATGACTGAAAAACACCATCACAACAGTATTCAGTATTTAAGAATTGGCTCTCTTTTAATTTTCATGAGGTGGAATTGGAATTGACCAATGCTCACTGGATGGAATCCTGGGCCCGATTGCATGAAAGTCCTTAAGTAATTTGACTTAGGGGTATCCCTGAGGGAGAACAAATCCCTGAGGTAAGGGATTTCTTTAGGAACGTTGCAACAAACGTCTTAACTGTTACCCTTACCTAAGTGTTTATACTAAGCGTTTCACAGTAGTTTCTGGCAACATACGGCAATGGGCGCTGCGGTTACTATGGTTACTACATCTCACAATAAACAGATAGCGGGGGGGGTCCCTGAGGTAAAGGGATTTCTTTAGGAGCGTTGCAACAAACGTCTTAACTCTCACCCTTACCTAAGTGTTTCACAGTAGTTTCTGGCAACATACAGCAATGGGCGCCATGGTTGCTATAGTTACTACATCTCACAATAAACATAGATATGTATACATATCTATGGCAATAAACAGAACATAATGAAATACAAACCTAACCAACTAAAACACAGACAAACATTAAATAAACATGAGCGTTGCCCATTTCTGCGCTGCTTTGTGTGCAGTCGTTACCGAGGAAACCACTTTGTTTCTGCAGTGAAAGCGCCTCCTGCTGACCAATTACGGAAAATGTACCAAATGTGAAAATTAACCCATGTTTTGATGCTGCAAACATGCAGAGTTGTAAATATGAACAGGTGGACCGACAAGATAATGCATTATAAAAATCTAAACAATTAAGACAAATTATATATATATATTGTTATTTAATTAATGTAATAATTGATTAATAATAATAGTTTAAATTGATATCTTAATTGATACAACTCGTCCATTTACTTAAATTTTTTTTTTTTGTTAAAACCTGTAAGTCATGCCTTTTACAGTCATTTTACAGTTTAATATGTTACCATAGTCACTGCCCTACTGCGCTCATATGATATTTTATTTGTGCAGGTCTTAAAAAAATTTCTTAAGTCTTACATTTGAGTTTAAAAATCCTGCAGATACTGAGTTTAAGATGACTTAAGGGAGCTCTTTTGGTCCCTTCCATTTATTAAGGTGAAATGGTTACTAAGGACTTTGTAGCAACGCTTAAGGGAACACTTAAATAATTAAGGGGAATATTTAATGACAGCCTTAAGGTTCCTTAAGTTGACCCTTAGGATTTTTCTTGCAACCCAAGTTTCACTAAGGTTTCCCTTAACCTTATAACTAAGGGATTTCTTAGCTTG